TGCTTTTATTTAGCGAAACACACGACATCTTTGTTTCCCTTTTGTTGGCCAGTGTTGTGAATGTTTCACCTCCAGTCAACTCATTTGGGTCCCAGGTAACCTTGGCCTCCCCCCGAGAAACGTCACTGATGATGATATTCACCTTGTGCGATTGAAGAATCATCTTGGGGGAGGGGGATTTCTAGCAAAATCGAATAAATTATGTTGATTAACAAAGCGACACTCTTACTTATTAGTAATATTCGCAAAATAGTGATGCAAAGTAATTATAATACTAGTCGAAAAGAGTGCTAGTCCGACACTGATACCGAAAGTCACAGTGATGTAAGATGCCTTTTACTCACAAAGTAATATTGACTCAGTGGATTTAGACCTCTTCCAAGACACAAAATAAAAGTGATATACAAAGAATTATATGACAGTCTGACACTGACTTTTTAACTGATAAGGAAATATTAGACAATCTGACACTGACTTCCTAACTGATAATTCGCCACTGAAAACCAATCCTTGAATGCGTCACACTTCCTTGAAGGCTCTGGAAGCACTGATGAATATTTCCTCATCAGTTCTTGAAACAAAGCTGGGCTATATTTGGCTGACCAGGTCATAAACAGTCATATCTAAACTTAAATAGTATCGAAACCAGTACCGTGATAAACGATTTCATTCTTCAGAGCTAAGGAATGAACCACTGACATGACCTTAGGAGCTATTGTTTTGGTTTCAAACCCAAGGTCAAACTGCCAGCACTCCCAAAGAGAGCATGTGTCCTGCCGCATATATATAGTGACATGTTGCGCAACGAAGGACCCCTACCTCCCCAGCGGCACGTGGCGGTAACGTAGCACTCGCGTAATAGGCGAGTCATCACCCCGCCACTCTCCCTGCGGTGACATCACGAGTGGAGCCGAAGTGAGCCGAGCGGAGCCAGGGTGTCCCAGGAGGAATGGACCAAACTTCGGGAGGGTGTTCCTTATGTTAAAGTATGCCGATATAACCCAAAACACCTATGTCCAAAGTTGAACGGTTACGGAGATAATGGCCCGAGAAAAGTGTGGTCTTCTAGCGGGTCTACAGACTATACCTATCAGCTGAGAGGCCTTATCTATGTTTGTCCTT